CCTCAGTCTGTGGGTAGAGGGCCCAACTTCAAATTTTTTCATAGGGCCCAAAACCGCTAGCGGCGCCCCTGCATATACCTGTGAGTAATTTAGTCACCACTCAATCTAGTGTGTGGATTTGGACTGTGGGTGAAAGCTAGAGTACGTACTCAGAAGAAACCCACACTAGCAGAGGGAGAAGATGCAAAATCAGCATTTGAACGTGAAACCTTCTTACTATGAGGTAACCACTGCACCGCCATCAATTTGTAGCACTACTTGTTATCACCAAGAGGTTGCCACATAACTAGCAGGGATTCCAGAAAGTTACTGTGCCTGACAAAGAACGTGTGCAACAAATAATCCCCTGAAAAAGTAGAAATTCTAGTTTTTACCCTATGAAAGTTAGTGTTCCATTTTAAACTCCTCTTTGTGAACAGAGAGAGATCCAGCGGCTAACCTGAGGCAGCTGCAGGCGCACCGGGCGTGGAGGTGCTCTGCCTGGAGGCCTCAGGTGGTCTGGGGAGGGACTGGGAGGAGGAGGAGGCTGGTGGCAGCCCTGGCTGCCATCCTCCTCAGCTCCCACCATTCCCTGCAGCTCATCCTTGGTGCAATGGGTCTTCCCAATGGAGCTCTGCTGCAGCCAGTTGCGCTTCTTGGAGACAGTGATGGTGGTGAGCGGTGGCCTCCATGATGAAGACTCATTGATCCTACCCACCTCCCGGCCGTTAACATAGGGGGTCTGGACATTCTCAATGAAGGCTGAGGGAGCGATGAAGAACAGAACAATGTGACAGTTACAGCTTCAGGCTGGGAGACACTATAAAATCTTTGATTGACATAAAAAAGTCAATTATCATCATGAGAATCATCATGAGTAAGGCAGTGAGCTGAGCTGTATTACAGAATCTGATGTTTAAGACCATTTGTGTCCCACCAAGTTGAAAAAACATCTGTATCAGGAAACCACAGGTGTGGAAATACCGAATCATGCCATTTGGTTTTATAGAGTTTTCCTCTCTCATTCTGCCTTTTGAAAACAGAGACTCTGGGCTCTGAATTCAAAAGGAGATCACAGGGAGATGGAGAGATTGAGTACACACATCTTCCATCAGAGCAACTTGGAAAACGAGACTGAGAAACCACTGGCATTACAGCTGTGAAAATAGTCTAGAGTGGGGAGGGGATGCATGTGAAGGGGCTGACGATAAGTGCAGCCAGTGGCGATATGCACAGTTAAAAGGATAAATAATAGAGATGGTGAATGGGTTTGAGTGTATTGATGCATTTATAGGTGTTTTCTATACAGAAAATCCTCTGACCTGCTTTTATTCTTTACAAGAGCTTATGAGCAGATGCAGCCAGAGAAAAACAACTACAGTACATTTGTGTGTGTGTGTGTGTGTGTGTGTGTGTGTGTGTGACAAGGAGAGCGAGGCACTGAGGGCAGGGTCGTGCTTGAACATGTACAGCAAGCTCGTGTAAAAGACTGTTTTGATCCTCAGCAGCTCCCAGACGAGCCCCTCCACATGCTATAATGACAACTTCTCCTTTCCTCGAGGAAATGTGTTTTTATGCTCACCAGGCTACAGCAACCAAATTATAAAGGTGGGAATATTTCCGCTTTATGAAATAGAAATTTAAAACAGAGCATCCGGCACATGTGACTATATGAATGAGTCAGAATAAACCACAACAGGCTTTTGTTTTTTTTTTATTACTAATCCAGAGCAGTCCAGGAGAAGAGAACTGAAGTATATTAGAAATCACATGGTTTCCAATTACATAACCTCTACCCAGTTGATTGAGACTAAGATACTTTTTGCTTCCTGAAAGTCAAACAAAGAGCAGAGGGCTCCACTGGGATTTACCTTTCCCAGGAAGTCAGTCAGCTTCTCTCAGCTTTCCTGTGAGCTACAAAGCAACTTTACAAAGCAACTTTACCACTGAACACATACCCTCTAAGAACTGTGGCCATCTCCAGTGCCCCAACATCCTATAAACACTGAGTGTGTGGTTCCTCTCACAACAAACCAAGTCTCAAACTATTCCTATACTTTGCTGCTTGACTTTTTTCCCCAAAATAGACGTATGACAGCTATGGTATAAAGTGGGATGAAACTGATTGCATTAGGGAAGCCATTCCTCTCTGTTCCAGCTGATTGTGTAAGACCCCCATGGTACATAAAACAGCTTTCAGTTGCTAACAGAGGCCACTTTTAAGGCAATTCTAATGGCCACGGTGAAAATACAACTAACCGCCTGAAAGACAAAGACATAACCAATCTTAGCCTCTTGTCATCCATTTCATTTTAATTCAGACCACCGTGCTGCCAGGATATAAAGCACATCTTTTGGTATTGCTCCTTATGTGTTTGGGTGACTTGAACCAGCAGCATGTTTGCATTAATGTTAGGAGTTAATGTTGTGTTTGAGGACCAGTAGCTAAGTAGTTGTAGCATGTACAGACTGTGAACTGAAGGAGAAAGGTCTGTTTCTAGAGCTGTGCTGGGTCTCACAAGTTAATGTGTAGGCCCAAGCTGGCAGACAATCTGCTAGGGTTTCAGCTTTTCTAGCTGACATTCCAGTTGACACTGGGCAAAAGGTGGGGTTATTGAAAGTGTTAAACAAGCATGATAAAGGTTACTGAAGAAGTACTTCAAAGAAAGGGTAAAGATTTAAGGACCAACCCCAGACTGTAGACCATGCTACCAATGCTCAGTCTGGTAATGCGAGACGGTTGTGCATGGAGTTGTTGTCAGCGTACCGTCTTGTTGCAGGGGTCTTTCATAACTGGAAGAGAAGGCGTGTTCTGACATGAGCAGCATTCCAGACCACAGCTCAAGATTTACAGCCTCGCCGCTGTCATACTCCTTCACAGTAGTAACACTTTTCTAGAGAGACAGCAGGGCCCTGCTTTGACTGCAATTTCAGCCATTTTCACTGTACACAGTTACATCAGGATGTCAGTATTTCTCATCTACTTGACATGAAATATGACTGTAGCAGACAATTTTTGTTTCTCCGGGGGTCTGTTTCCTAAAACATCATCTTTAAACTGCAACATACACTGTAGTTAGAGAGAGGTTTTTACAAGACAAGCCTGGTCTAATAGGAGCATTTAAGAACTAGATATTGAAAAACAGCTGAATATCGTTTAGAACAGAACTTCTTGAAAAACAGGAGAAAGAATTTTTATTAAAGGCCTGACTGTTTTCTTCATTTGAATTTTTATTTTTGCCCACCGGTATGCTGCAACTTTAACTTGTTATTTAAAATAAGAGACCAGTAACCAGCATGCAGCACCCATTAAACTCATGTTAACACAATACAGAGGAAATGAGAAGACCCAGTCAATGAAAACTTCTGTCAGAGAGCAAACACAGCCTGCATCTGAGTTGTGGTGGCTGAAAGAGGATGTCTTCCATACCAATGCCTCAGATTTGTCCTCCAGGTCACAGCCCTGACCTGAAGGTAACAGATGACCAGAGCACATCAGAGAAAAAAAGACTTTATGGGAGTGAGGGAGAAGTGCATAGGGAATGTTATGGGTTTGTCTGAGGTGCAGAAAGGAATGCAAACTTATAAAGAAAACAATTTCCTGGATGTTCTGGTATGAACCTGTGAGCCTGACAATTAACCAAATTAGTATATTCATGTCTAAATCTTCACAGTGACTGTCTTTTTCTCCTCAAAGACAAAACACTTTATGCTCTTTCCCATAGGTTTTTTCCTGAATTTCTTTAGTGTCATAGAGGCTCTGCTTTGGGTAAGTGCAGCACACACACTAGCTAGTTTTCTCCTCCATACAGACAACACTTTGTTGTGTGTACAGAGTCTCAGGCTCCCCTCCAGAGGGAATCTTTTGCAATGTGCCATACATTCCTGTTGACACTCATTCATATGGTAATTCAGATTCTCAATGTAGATTTTTCTTTTTACACCAGAGCAGAGCTGAGATCATACAGGGTTGCATCACATGTCAACACTTGCACCTCAGTGAAGAACCTTGGCAGCGCATCCCGATAATATAATACCACTTCCTCCTTAATATGTTGGCTTGAAACCCAAATTCTTCTCAATGTTGTGGCTCTTCCAGTGACTATTCTGTCCCGTTTCATTGTGTCTGTTAAAAACAAAAACTAACAACAATGCTTCAAGAAGGGACAATATAAAAAAGGCTAATAGACACAGTGTAAACTGCCACCAGTTGGTTTTACTGCTAATCAGTCATTTAAATGTGCTAAGCAAGTTGCTAATGTTTGCCCCACGCTCTCTGCAGACATCAAGTGACTCGTGTATCTCATAAACCATCCTGGTATGAACTCTGATGCCTCATGTTTGTCCTCCATCACCTCATCTGTCATTAGAGGTGCCATCCTCCATAAATCTGTCCAACGCAGACAGACCAGACAAGACAAATTACTGTACCACTACCACTGGCCATGTGTGTTTATGTGAAAAGAAAAAAACTTAGTAACAAGTCTTTGGCACAGTGCAGACGCTAAATACCACTTTGTTCTGACATGACTTGACAGCAGTCGAGGAGGATTGCATTACACCTCCACTTTCTTTGAATCGACTGAGCAAGCAGGAATTAATGAAATCATACTGTTGAGCAATACACCGTAAACCTGAACCAAATCCTGTCTTTACCTCATACATGGTGTGTGTCCTCTTTAGAGGACTTGTTGGACATTCTAGGAAATAATCTTATTTGCTTTTTTTTGCAGTTAGATGAGAAGATAGATACCACTGTCATGTTTGTGTGGTAACTACAGCTAGCAGCTTAGCTTAGCTTAGCATAAAGAGTGGAAACGTGGGGTGAACTGGGGCCAAACCTGTATTTGCAGTCTTTATGATAAGCTAACAGCTAGTGGCTTCATATTTAATAGCCAGGCAAGGGACTGGTATTGATCTTCTCATCTAACTTTCCACTAGAAATTGCATACATCTATGTTCCAAAATGTCAAACATCTTTTAAAGGTTGTTTTGTCCAGATAGATTTTTTTTCAATTTTTTTCTCTGTTCTAAAGTGGTCAGTATTTCCAGTCATGTAGACTAAGGACAACTGTTCTCTTAGTTTGAGACTATTAAAAAGAAAGAATATTTGTCTCTAGGAGTCGACTGCCTCTGTTTGTGGTGTCTCCGACACAGTCACCAAATCAGGCTTGACTGACAACCCTCCTCAGTTTAGCTGTTGTCGGCTTGCCAAGACTACGCCACTGCACAACAAAACTATAAATCCTCCAACTGCCAATACAGTACAATACATGTGCATAAGGAAATTTGCATATGCATGTTCATGTACGCAATGCCTATATATAGGGTGCAACATTCTCAGCTGTGGGTGATAATCAAGATGATTGTTTTTACACCATAATTAAAGGACAAATCAAAACAGAAATAAATTAGCTCCAGTCTAATTAATCCAATATGTTGTCCTATGAGTACACACTGAAGTTTAATTTCCAACTAACACTCTGGGGAAGGAACAGGCTTATTTTTAGAAACTCCGAAATACATAAATATTTGCATAAATTAACAGAAGACCCATAAACTCAATAAAGAGCTTCAGGCCAAGCAATTCACTAGCGCTTCTGAGAACTTTGGCATTTCCTTTTTTAATGATCAACCTTCATTTTGTTCACTCACGGTGAGGAATTAAGTGGCACAACGCAAACAAATTAAGTGACAGGAATGGCATCCTAAATATTTGATCCCAAGCCTCTTAAAATGCAAGTTACAATGGAGCTGTCCAGAGCAAATGGCTAAGGAGGATGGCAACATCACAACGCAGCCCCCTGACATTCTGACACAAAATACACATGCATGCATGCACACACCACCACCGCAGAAAATGTGGCTTCTTTCTTGCCTTGGATTCCTCTGGCCACATGTGTGGAAAAGTTCAGTGGGGACTGAGAGGAAAACTGAACAAAATGGGGAAAAAAATGAGAATCAAGCAGTGAAAGAGACCTATGAAATGAATATCAAGAAAAGCGCTATCATTATTATTACTAAAATATAGCAGAGATGGTTGGAAATCAAACACAGGCCTTCAGCTCAGCAGGATCATGGATCAGAATCTACTTCTAGTAGTGAAGCCCACGCTGTCAACCACAGCCTGTACACATGGAAAACTTACAGAACACCAGACCTGCTCAGAAGTAGCATGCTCATAAGCACACAGAGGGAACTTAATGCATACAAAAATACTAGAGAGCAGATGTGTAGTAGAATAAAAAGAGCTGGCAATAATGCTGCTGATCCATACAAAGTGAGCACATTTCTACATCTTCTCAAACAGATGTCAATACAAAGTTTTCCACAGTTATCGGATCCTAACTGGCTCCCTGCCTCATCTGGAGTCAAATCAGGTCAGCATGAACAAAATGTGCATTTCATTTGGAAAACGTGTATACTAAAACCAATAAAACTGTGACTCAGGAAGTATGTGAAGTGTGCAATCAGCCCACTTTCCATCACAGCAAGGCTGGTGTAAAGCAAACACTTCTGTAAATGCTATTAAAGTGAGTAAATATGCTTAGTCAACTACTCTTTCTGAGTTTAATTGTGAACGCTCAGCCTCAACTTTTAAGCCAACATGGATGAAAAGTCTTCAAGGTGTCCAGAAAAATTAAATTTGAACATTTACAATTATAAGGAAAACTGGGAGAAGTCCATCAGGAGAAAGACTGGGTGGTAAGACTGAAAGCTCCAGGAAAGCTACTAAATAAACCTCATGGTGAGATTGTTCTTCCACTGCAGTTTAGACCCATTTGCATCACAGTTTATCCCCATCACACATTTTATTTGATCTTAAAACACCTAAACTGGCTAAGTATGTAATCATGACACATTCAAACAAATGTGTGTAATCGGTTACTGTGGATGATTCATGATACAGATGTTTTCGTATTTCCACACATTGTAAAATGAACAATGGGAGAAAGTCATAAAAAATGGCATTTTAACATAATCAAACATCACTTACACACACATACACACAAACCCCACCACCGACACTACACAGAACATTGCTGCAACTAGTAAAGGAGAGTGAGTTAGTTGTTACTGAACTACACTGTGAGTGGTCTGACATACAACCTGATGTGCTATTAATTCGGTGTTAAAATGCACCTAAATAAGTGTTAAGGAAAGAACCCGCCACCAGTTAGAGAGTCTTAGAAGGAAAGCAAGGAGGTCTGAGCTGTCTCGTCCCTTTGCTTTGCATCCAGAAGAGGAGGAGTGCAGGGTGGACTGCCACCAGATGGAGTTTACTGTGAGTGGAGGAGGATGACAATAATCAGATGGGAGGAAGGAGGGTGAGAGGTCTCTGATTGTAAAGGATCCACAGGAGTTGAGGCCACTTTGTGTAGCTTTCCTACCTGGCTGCTGTTGCGGTGACTTGACTGTAGGTGATTTGGCCTTGACAGATTTACCCCGATGGCTGGATGTCTGGGATCCTGGTTTAGACCCTGTGAGAGTAGCCTGTGGACAGGACCGGTCCTGGTTTTGGCCTCCGCCATGGGGCAAAGACAAGCCCTCAATGCGCTGCTTCATCTCTGAAGACAGCAACCGGCCCTTGTGCATCCACTCTTGCATCTTGTTTACAGTGACGCCGTGGCCCTTGTTGACTGAGTCAGTCCCGTGCACTCGGACTCCATTCAGGTCCTGCTTGGTGCCGTGACCATGATTTGTGGGTGTATCAGCATTGCTGTCCGAAGAACATGTGAGACTGCTGACTGAGCCGCTGCTGTCGTTGAGCTGCCCACCACATTCCTCCTTACCACCAGCACCTTGTAGCAGCTCATCACTGCTGATGGCATTGTGGTCTGACAGCTCGCCCACACCTCTAACTATAGCTCCATCAGCCTCTTTTATCTCTGTAGCCCTTTTATCATAGTGGATTTCTGGACTCTGTTTTTCAGAGGCCTGAATACAAACGGAGGGTCCACCTGGATACCTTATAGCTCCATCACTAGCCGAGCGAGGTAATCTGGGCCTTATCTTGGCCAAGGTCAGGTTCACCATACTCTTACTATTCAGCCTGCTTTTGAGCCCTGAGTCAAGGTTCCCACTGAAGCAGAGCAGGAGTGAGTCAGTGTCAGACACCTGCTGAGGGCTGCGCTCTCCTCCTGAGGACCAGGAGTCACTGTCCATGTTTTTAGCAGACAACCTAGAGCACAAACTATCCCTGGAGTGGCTACTGCAAGAGGAGGTGGCCTGCTGCTCAGTTAAACCACTATTAATCTGCTGGACATCCAGGCTGATATCATTCATAGCATTAATAAGGAGGTAATATGCTTCTTTCAGCTGGTTTCTAAGCCGGTCTGTTTCCTGAGCACTGTTACCATCATCAAGCTGTTCTTTATCCTGAGCCGACTGAGTTAGTTCTGCCCTGTCACTATCACGTTTTGCTCTAATAGTTTCATAAAAGGGCAGAATTTCATTGTCATAATAATCTTCATCTTCCTTGTCTAAAGGGTATCTAAGTGGCCCCTCTGTGGCGCACAGGGATGTCCCGGTAATGTCGCATATTTCGAACTCTGTGGGGAAAACCGCCGGGCTCTGCAGACCGCCTGCAGTACCTCTAATGTCAGCTGCATAGTTGGGCCCGTAACTCTCAATAGCTCTGATTAAAATGTTTTCTTCAGCGTTTCTTGTCATACAGTTTGGATCCACAAGTGCAGCACAATTTAGTGAGATTGTCTCCAAATTTGGGCTGTTGTCAAAAGCCAGGTTGGCGTTGTGTTCGTGTACAGCCACTCCACAGCGTGCCATATGCCGGGAGTGTCCTCTGTGTCTGGGCTCTGTCCCCTCACTGTCACCACTAGTAACCTGACCGACCCCGGTATGCGGCTCTAATCGTGCTCGGTATAAAACGTGATCTGAATTGTCTCCAAACCCGATTGAATCCCCGATGCTGCACTGCCGCGGGACCGAGACGAAGTGATTTCTGTGGACCTGCGAGCCTGCTATTTTGTCAGCGGAGCTGGTTCCCTGTTGGATCCTATCTCCCTCCCTAAACACATGTCCCCCAAACTGCACGTCTCTTTGAAGTGAGACCCCCAGTAGCTCCTCATTAATTCGAACCCTACCCCCGCTGCTCTGCTCCTGTGAACGTGCGCCGGACAACTCCGCTGCGCAACTCTCTCGGACTGTTATCACCCCCCCTGTTTGCACCATCGCCCCGTCAACACAATTCTCGTACGTGCTCATTCTCTCGGTCGTGCAGTCCAGCCTTGAGAGCAAAGCTACCGGGGAAGCCTCGTCGCAGTCTCGCTGCGTTTGCAAAACTTTTTCTTTACCTTCTCGGCCCCAGTTCGCCTCGGCAGCAGGAGAGCCGTATCCACCGCCGACACTCGCTCCTTTCTTGGATTTCTTCCCCCGGAGTTTCGCTAATAAAGTCCTCCGCAGAGGATCAGCCATTCCTTTTTGTTGCCCCCTGTCAATTCCTCTCAGTTTCTCTCAGCGCACCGGCTCCAAAAAGAAGGGACCGGGTGGGATCTCCTCGCTCGCCGCGGTGAAAGCTCGCCGGGCGGACCTGCTCCTCTCCATTCTCCGCTGTCACCTCCGGTCTGTCGTCTAACTCACTCCTGGATTACACTGTTCAACTGCACCACATCTCTCTCTCTCCCTCCCTCCCTCCCTGCACCACACACGCACTTCGTTTCCCTCCCTCCCTCTCTGCTCCACACACCACTTTGTCTCCCTCCCTCCCTCTCTTCCTTTCTCTTTAGCGCCTCACCATACCTTCTCGTGTTTGCAGCTCAGATATTTGGCATATTTTCATGGTTCAAAGTTCAGGGCTTTTAATTATTTGGAGAAAGTTGCCTGAACCCTTTAAAACCACGGAATGTGGCCTACAACTAAGCTGAGTTTGGTTGGAAACTTAGATGACAGCCTATTGCATGAAATGAATGTGATGTTTAACATTTCATTTTGGTCCAGGTAGCTCTTTTCCAAAAGGTCAGAGGTGAAGCAAAGTGTTATATTAAAGGATGAAACTCTAAAAAGAAAATCAATGAATATGTGCATCTCACTCATAAACTGACAGTATTTTACTAGGGCTGAAAAAATGTATTGTAAAATCTATTATTCAATTTTTCAAAAAATTAATGTGCAGCTATTTTAATTTAAATGATTTAATTAATGATTAGATGAATGCAGAGTAAGTAGTCTCAGTTACATTCTGCTACTGGAGTCAACATTATAAGATTATAAAGCATGAGGATGGCTCCAAATATCATGCCCCTGCTTCATTTTTTGTAATATAGGTGCATAAATGCCATCTTGTAAGTCTTATACGAGGATGAACCTGCACATATAGGTATGTGAACTGCAGCTCCAGTCTCTCTATTGAAATTCAACACATATTTGTCCCTGAAATTTGAATTAAATTCAGCTGGAGAGCAGTGAGCCAGGACTTCAAATTATCACCTTCACTGGTAGCTGTGAAGGCGTTGCCGCAAACAGCGGGAAAAGCAACTCTCGTGTCAGGGGACTTTATGAAAGAAACAAAAAAAGAGGATGGAGATAAGCTCCCACCTCCCAGCTCGCACTGATACCTCTTCACAAATGAGCAGGACTGTGTATGTGATGAGGACTTTTGCTTCATAGCTTCATTGTCACATGAAGACTATTTTTTATCCAGCCCAAAAGCACAGCCTGTCACATGATGGATCACTGCTGACAGTTTTATCTTAAGTACATCTTGAGTAATCCTCTCCTCTTTGGCCCTGCGTCTAACCCCTGTCCCTGCTCGCAGCACAGCCCAAGGCTCTGAGAGAGGCAGACGCCACTGAGAAAGGAATGGAATACTTCCCTTTAACCTTAAGCCATTTGTTTGCTGATGCCTCTACTTGGAATGTGCAGGAGGATGAGCTGCTGAAAAGCTGCAGTGGGTGTATGAGTGCACATACACTCTGTATACCTCCCTCTTTAAAAGCACACACACACTGACTGAATCCATTATAATCTCCCTGGCATAGAGGTGCCTTTTTTCTACAGTACAATGTCTATCCATGATTGAAGGCATATATTGTCAGAGCCATTCATTGACAGGGCCCCAGCGTTCCACATTCAATCCCCTACTACCACCACTACCTTCAGTAAAACACGATAAGCATCTGTTATTGCTCTGCAGGAGCCATATAGGCCCCGACGCCTCAGCCTGCCTCCCCGACTGACTGACTAGACCCTGTCTGGGCAGTTATTTACAGGTCAAAACCTGCAGGCTTCATGGTGTGTGTTTGTGTGGGAAAAAGAGAAAAAGGGAGAGCGATGGGGAGATGAGAGGGTGATGCATCAGAAAGGGCGCCAACCTTTGAATGGCACAGAAGTGATGCAGTTGTTCTGCACACTCATTGCAAGGCATGAACAGGCTCTCCTTTGAACAAATAACATGTTTTAGTGCAATTCTCATAATGGTAAATGTTTTGCATGCCTGAAAATGTGATCTTGGGTTATGCAGTGTAGTGTGTGTGTTTGTACGGCAACAGAAAACAGGGTTGCAAGCACCTATGTAACAGTATAACTCAAGTCGTGTACTTAAGAGCAATTTTGAGGTACTTATGCTTCACTTGAGCACTTGCATTTCATGCTATTCATTTCTGAGGCAAATGTCATTCCTTTTTATTAGTATACTTTTCATTCCATTTAATCAGTTTGACAGCTATAAGAGCTTTAAAAGCTACGATGGTGAGCCTATAAAATGTGATGATCCTGGAGCTATGTTTAGACTTGGTTTCTGACTTCTCGATTTATTTATTTTGTTTGGATACCTTTGCATTTTATCTATTACTTTTAGCTCACTAGGCTCTTCTACCCAGATGTCTTGGATACAAATCTTGCATCTACTGCCAGCACACTATTGAACAAAGTTGTATAAACACAATTTAATTAAAAAAATACACCCAATATGTTATTGAGTATCTAAATGAACACAAAATAAGCACTTGATATGAGCTGCTCTCTGTGCTGACTCAAGAAAAAGTTTGCCTCTCATCTCTGCTCTTTTCTTTTATTTGCTTGTGCCCGCTAGGATGGACGGAAGTGGCAGAACATCTGCTTAGTTGGCCCCCTTTCAGATGGCCAGGCCAAACAGTGTATGATGAAGAAAACTGTGCACATGTGTGCGTAACAGAGAGAGAGAAAAGAAAGTAGAGAGAGGACATAAATGTGTATGTGGGTGCATGTTTTCAAGTGCATGTGGGTGTGTGTTAGGATATGGGGCTTTGCAGCTGTTGGGGCTCTCCTCCTGATGGCTGCCCATTGTTCCCTTTCTCTGTCTCTAGTGTTCCCTCTGTCCCGGGCCGTTTATGGGCCTTCCCTTTTTCTCAGCACAAACCGCAGCTAAATTTATTTCCTTGGACACAAGCCTTTCTCAGGGTATAAATTAGAATGGACGATCCCTGTCAGAGCAGCGTTGCCAAGCGCCTGCTGCCTTATGTTCCACAGAGTCAGATTATTGTCGTAGCCATTCAGTCATATTTTACCATAAAAAAAAATCTAAAAGTAATTCTTGTTGGGCCTCACTGCATTTGTATTCACGCGCTGTTAAAGTTGTGGTGTATCAGTTAAGTTTTAAACAATATCATTTTCTACACACAAATTTGTGATACTGTCAATACAGTTGATGTAAAAATACAAACACTTTGACTTCCAGAAGTAAATTCTCATCAGGGAAGACAATAAAACTCTAAAACTCTGCGGCATAATAATAATATATTAAAAATAATATAAGGCCAATATCAGTGGACTCACTGGTGTAAACATTAGTATTTACAATGGTGTGAGCAAACAGATCCTCCTGTCTGGAATCCAAATAAGCTCTTATCTCAACACATATAAACCTGGGTGAGATAGCAGAGATATTAACATGCATATTCAGTTTGCTCAGTTTGGTTGCAACATCTGTGCATGTTGTATAAAGACACACTGGAAAAATAAAAACCAAATAAGACCTTATTAGCTGTAGCATCTGGAATAAAGTCTTTCTCACACTCAGAGTCTGACTCAGAGAAGTTACACTAAGCAGCCAAAGCCAGGAAAATGATATTTGATCCATCCTTGACTTTGGTATGATGTTGAAATTCCCTTCTTCACTCATTTACTGCTTTAACTTTTGTTCCCAATAAGAATCCTAAACATATCTAACAGAAGCTGTAAAACTGAGGACATGAAAGTAAAGCACTCACTAATTTTAGGGTAAATGATTCCAGAAAGGACAGAGGTCATTATCATTATTGATTCATTTGTTGTATATTTTCATTTTCAGTTTCATTGCACTGGAAAATAAATAAAATCACAGAACAGACAGATAATATATAAGTTCATATAAACTAAGGGTGGGTTTATTATATTTCCAGTTATTACAGAAACATTATTTAATTTCTTCATTAATTAATAAACAATTTTTAACTATTATTTATGTAAAAACTATAAGTAAAATGTCTCATTTCACTTACGGTTTCTTTAAATTGCTTGTTTGTTTGTTGTCAACAGTCCAAAACACAAACTACACAAAAAAGCAGGAAACCCTCACATTGAAAAAGCTGTAATCAGCAAATGTTGGCACTTTGTTCTTGAGCAACTAAAAGCTTCAGGTTGGAGCCATGCACATGTGAACTGAGGAGAGAATCTGAGTGCAGACTTACACAACTCGCTGTTCCAACTTAAACCTAACCAGGCAAAACACAGGACAAGGCTCAAGATAACAGAATTCACACAGAGAGTACCTCCTGCATTACTGAGCAGCAGCCAGGTTAGCTGACTGCCACTGGCTGATTTCTGACAAATGCACATGCACAGAAAGCCTGGGCTGTCTGCTTCATGTCATTATCAGCAGACAACCTCTGACATGTTTAGCATGACAAGAGGTCAGACAGTTATTGTTGCTACTGTTCTCTGAACTGCAAAGGAACATTCCTTCCTCTGAGCGCATTCATCATGTAGTCAGGCTGAAAAGAAGTTTGTGTAAGAAGTAGCAGAATGTCTTCAGAACCAAAAACGAACATGGTGCATGGTGTTCTTTATACAAAATCTCATATTCTGTTTTGCTGGCATTCATGTGGTTCTAGTCATTAACTGTATAACAGGCCCATATTTTGACTATAAGAGTCTCCACTGATGCAGGCAGGTCCACAAATATAAATAATAATAAATAAATCAAGAGCCAAAACAAGTGTAATGAATGCAAAGGAAATTATGTTTGCAAATAAATACCACCAGAGGTTAGATGTTTTATAGAAGGTCATTAATTAATGAAATGGACATATAAATGGGTGTGCACCAGAAAAATATTAAAATAAACAATGAGATTGAATGTTTTTTGTTTTAGTTTGTGAGAAAAAAACAACTTTTGTAAATTGTTATTTCCAGTCCTACATTGTTGAATTGCGGCTATAATCATTACTTGACATAAAACTGAGTGACGTGGTCATTTTTGAAGATCTAAAGCAACTTTACAGATGTTCTTGAGTGGTGTAGAGAAATGAAACTGGCACACTGACTTCAAATGGGGGGGGGGGCTTTTGGAAATATTCAGCTGCAATCAGTGGCTGGTACCACAATGCTACTGTAAATTACAATATTATGTTACCGTCTGGCCATCGTTTGGAAAATCCCATTCAGAGTTCAGTGAGGCCAAGAGAGAAGAACCTGTGGTTTAAAGAACATGGGCAGCTCAAAGCCAAGCAGTCATTTTGATCATGTCATTGATTTCACCACAAAACCATACACTGATTAAAACTCTCAATATGCTTCTAATCTGAAATGCAAGTGCAAATCGCAAGTTAAGGAGATGAGTCCGTTTGTCTCCAGCACCATAGAGGTTTTCTTTTCTGCTAAGCACCTGTTTCACACCATGGGCCACACTGCTGGTGTGAAAAGCAACTGTTTGCCTCTAGAAAACATCCAAGAATGAGTGAAGATTGTAGAAAAGTCAACAAGCCAGTGAGTGTGTTGACATGGAGCCTGTGTCCTCGACTGCTGGAGAGAGTATGCAGCATAGTTCTCGTTTTAGCCACATTAGCACATGGCAGCTGGATGGCAGCATCAGTCTGTTGGTCGATTGGACCAAAACTGTGGTTCAGGCTGAAATATCTCAGCAACTATTGCAGGGATTGCTATGAAATTTTGTACAGACGTACAGACAAAATACACAAAACAAAGCTCATGGTTCTGAGAACAGGGACTGTAAAACAACCATTTTCAGGGAAATTCCCAATAAAAAGCCTGACACTGAGATTTGCTGGTCACTGCTTATGCAGAAAGTGCAAAATTAAGAGTTGTTTGTAAATATGGCTGATAAAATCTGCTGCCACTGTTGTGCAGGAGCAAGTACGCATTTCAGACAAGGCCAGGCGCATACCTGGAGGCCAGAATTTTATCAGAAGCATATTTACCACTAGTTCATGTCAACCCACGATGACAGATGAGCCAGGAATTCTTCTGATCAGCAAACTGTTGCAAAGTGGGAACTTCTCTTTTTCTTGGCTTAAAAAATAATTATATTTGCTCCAATACACAAAGAAATCTAAATAATTACTTTGCTGTAGATATCTATACTTTATTATATAAGTTCTAACAGTTATAACATTTTAAGGCTTAGTTCTACATTGTGATCAACACAGCTTGGTCTTGTTGCTAATAATTTCATAATTTGAGACAAACTGATTTCAAGTGTAGTTCAACTGTTCATTTGCATCTAAATAAGTACTTTAAATGAACAGTAGCAGAACAGCAGTTGTCCAGTAAAATATGTTTTATTGCCTGTGTGGTTTATGATGAATAACATCTGAAAAGAAAACTATAAAATTCTCAGTTTACAGACTACACTAAATGAACAGCATGACAGAGTACAGTGTGCCAATAATATTCTGGATCAATACTAAACATGTAGATAGAGGATTTCAAAACAAAAGGAAAATGTTTAATACAAAGTACATTAGAATGAATAAACAGTCTGTATGTGTCAAGTATCTCAAGATAAGTGAGAAACTCTTCCAAACAGAACATCAGCATCATCTTCCTCAGAAATGCTACTTATATACACAGACGCGTTGTGATTTGGGGAGCCAGCATTTCCACAAAGTGCATCCAACTTTATCCATAAACATGAAGGAAGTGAATTACTGTGTAGTTTAAGGGCTCCATCTAGTTTCCATAAGCAGGAAGAACAAGCACGTCTTTAAATAGTAACAGGATTTTTTTCACTGAACACATTCTGACATGTCACAGCAGGAAAAACACAGGAGTAAATAGTAAAATGAATGATGGCTGAAATCCATTTAGCTGCCTTGGTTTCATTATTCTGACACTGTGCATGCTGGTGCACTGTCATGACTTATCGGCAAAAGAACAGTCTCATCTTTATGTCATTAAAGCTAACATGCTTTTCCTACTATAAGTCAAAATATCTACTGTGAAAAATGGCAATTTCCACAGATTTAGAGTCACTACAATCACATTTTTACAAGAAAGTCACTGCATTAACACGAGCACCACAGTCCAGTGGTGATTAGATATTTAGTATAAAATAAACCACAAACACAATCCAGGTAAACCACCACAGCCAGATGTCATAGTTTTTTAAGTAATTTTTAAAAAGGCAGAATATATTTGTTTTTTTTAGTTTTGGCCTTCTTTTCTATTGGTTATGATAATTTTACACTGATACAGGGATGCAGAGACAAGACCAGTCAGAATTAAACAAGTCGACAGCACCCTGTTGTCTAAGCCACAGTGTTGGAAGTGAAGTGAAGGTGAGAGCAAAGTGGAACCAAACTGTTCGTTCAACTGTTTGGTTCATTCCCAGTGCTCTGTGCACAGTCTAAACCTGTGCCTGGTAATATGTCATCATCCCAGTGACTTGTCAGTAAAAAGTCAATGGGGAAAGAAGAAAAAACAAAACAAACAAAAAAAACATAATGATGGCCAAAAACTAGACCCAGATGGTAAAGCACTATTATTTGCCTTAACCTTGGAATAGACAACACAGGGTTTGCCAGAATCAGGATCCCCTGGGTTACATTTTCCAACTGGGACTGTCAGATAATCAATGTCTGATGCCTCAATGATATGATGTTATGTTAAACACAACATTACACTTATCTTTCAAGTGTGCAGACAGTCATTTGAAAACTAAACAAATATTCTAATACTGCAAATTACATTACAACGACATACCTGAATGGGTAAAACGGCTGAGTGCAGCGTACAACCTACTTGATCATTGTGCTAATGTCTGTGGACGTCCTCAGCTAAAATGAACTTATAAAATGAATCTGTTCCAATGCAGTTTGAGTCTCACTCGATATTTTGCCTGAGGATTCTCTTCTCCTCCTCCACAAAATTCTTGTCAGAGGTGGCTTGCCCCAAGTCCCGCTTCCTCTTCTCCTTCTGCTGGAAAGTTTCCACCCGACGTTTCTTGGCCGACAGAGCTGGCTTCTCAGACTCGTCATCTGATCACCAGGGGAGGGGACGTAGTGGTGGTTGATAGAGGAGAATGAAAAATACTGATTTTTCAGACAAAGTGGAAAGTGGAGTAAACACAAGTCTCATGATTGTTAATTTTGTGGCTCAAAGATGGGTGGAGTGGTGCGCTATATTTCCATGGGTTTAGGGTTAGTGTGTATTAACCATGTCCAAGACAATAAATGTGTTTAAATAGGTGTGCTGCCTGGGACATTCCCTCAAACAATTATAGCAAATATTCTAAACATGCTCAATGACACCGAGGAGTAAGCTGCTGTAGTGTAGTACTGTCAAAGAACTGGTGTGATAATAATGGGGAAAAGTTTATTCATATGCCCCACTGACTTTGCCCCACTGACTTTACCCTGCAGGACTAACCTGATTCAGACACTTGCTCCTCTGCAGGTAGGAACTGGGCATGTCCAGTGTACGGCTTTGGCGCATCTTCCCCATTGTCTTCATACACATTGGACCACTTTATAGCCATGTCCATACCTGGAGGAGGACCCTTCTTCTTCTCTGGTTCTGCAGCGTAGCTTTCAGGTGGGGGCACAGCATTTGTTTTCCAGGGCTTAAATTCTCGGGCAGGCTTCAAGTAATAAAAAGCAGAAAGTGGGAAAACTGGATTATAGAAACTAATACAAAATAAAAAATGTTAATCTGAGCTCTTAGTAAAAAATAAAAACTGCAGATAGTTGCTAACTCAACATTGCCTTCAGATTATTAGGTACACCCGTACAGTCAAATGCAATCCAATATAAATGTTCTGCAATAAAGTCCATTTTTACTTTTTTGACACTGTCATACAGTTGCTAATTTAGTTGTATGTTAAAATAATGAACTAATAAAGCTGAAATATTAGTGGGATTCAGTGGAGGCCCCCTGTCCGGTCATGCTGCGGATAAGTAAACAGACCGGTCAAGAGCAGTGGGAATTACTAACTTGTTGACGTGGTTATTAGTGTGAATCTCCCTACAATATTGTGACGATCCACATCAGCCATTGGGGGGGTCTGGTGGCAGCTGCATGATGCAGAGGTGCATCATGGGAGTTCAGTAAATAGAGAGGGCAGTTATAAAATTATAGTTAAAGTGTTCTTATGTGTTACCCCATTGTTGTTATGTGTTAGTGTTGCTGACTTATGCTGGTGTGTTATCTGACGATGTTTTACTAAGTTAATTGCTGTGCTGTGTTTTGGACCGTTCGTTTGGCTTGTATGTGTGAGACTGACCCTGGGGGAAGTGCCATTGTTCAGAGGTGCATCATGGGAGTTCTAAATAAATGACAGAGAAAGCAGTGTTGCATTGTGGTAATTGTAAAAAAACACGCCCAGGTGATATCCAGAGTCGTGCGGTGTATGGGGCCTGGAATAATCGCTAACCAAGATCAGCATAGGTGCCAGCGCCCTGCTAGCTAGTTTAGCTGTACCAGTGTAGCTAGTGTATCTCCTCCACGCCAGGGGTCATTACAATATCTTCACTTTTTTCCCTAAAACATGTTTTCTGTGTGAACTCGGGTGCTGTAACACAGTCGCTAACGTTAGCTATGTAGCTACTTTGATTTTTACCTCTTCGGGAGCTTTAACAGTCAGACTGTCCCAGTCTATCTGTTTGTTCAGTGGGTTGTAGAGAAAAGCGGGCTTGGACACGGAGCTGAACAGCTCGTCTGGTCTGGGTAAAGCAGCTCCACCGGCTGTTCGCTTGACCCCGTGTTGGAAGGACAGAGCCCCGCTTCCCTGAGCATCTGTTCCCGTTTGCTTCTTCCGACTTTCTCCCTCCTCATCTGAGTCGCTGCTGTCGCTCAAATCGTCGTAGCTCGAAAAGAAACCTAAAGAACTGGACTTCTTGTCTTCTGACATTGTGTTGGGGTTACTAGCTTTATAATTTGTAGCACTCTGCTAACGTATAAATAAGGAAAAAGTGAAGACAGGGGTACTAAACCTGACTGGGTTAGAACTGTACGTCTAAACCCTAATCCATTTTTTTTAGCACACTCCAAAACAGTCGTAAAGCTGATATAAGGTGTCGTGATGACTGTCGTAAAGCTATGTCATTACAGGTATGTGCCAAAAAATTAGAATATCGAGGAAAAGTCCATTTATTTCAATAATTTGTTTCAAAAAGTGAAACTTGTATGTTATATTAGTTCACTACACACAAAGTGAAATATTTCAAGCCTTTATTTGTTTCAATTTTGATGATTATGGATTAAAGACAAAAAAAAAAACCCAAATCCAGTATTTCACAAAATTAGAATATCATGACAAAGTTCAACATTGTAGGCTCCCTGTGTCCCAATCTAGTCAGCTAATTAATGCAAAACACCTGCAAAGGTTTCCTCAGCCTTGAAATTGTCTCAGTCTGGCTT